CTCATCTCTTGGCCTGGCCCTTCTCTAAGGGGGGGATGTCAGTCACCTGGGCTTCTCTCCGGGGCGGCCACCATCTTGGGTAGTTGAGAAGGCATTAGTAGAACTGTTAAATCAGCTGCCCCACTAGAGATATTTCCTCTAAGTTTTCTAAAGATGGCAGTGTTGTAGTTATCCCGAGAATGGGTTTCTTCAAAGTCCAGCCATCCTATGGCCTTTTTCTTCATGACTTCACGCAGAGTCATGTTCTGCTCCACAGGCCTCAATCCCAAGCCTGCCCTTGGCCTCCCCCTGAGAGATCTTCCCAGCAGCTCTCTGCCACAGCTTCTCAGGCCTTCTCCCCTGGAAAACTCCAGCTCGAGTCCCAGTGTACACATGGGCTGTCCTGAGCAGCCAGCATTCCTTTTAAGTTCCCCTTTGGAAATGGTGTGTGGGTGTTCAGTTGTGTCTGGTGACTATGGACAGACAGTAAATCTCCCTGTGATCTGTGGTAGCTGTGAGGCAGCTCTGGAACGCGAAGAGCTGTTTGCTTTGAACCGTGAAGAAAACTGTGTTTTGAGTTTAGCTGAAATTAAGAAAAAAAAGTTCATCAAGTGACTGTTAATGTAAACCTGGTTATTAAAATAACTATAAAATCGCAGCTGTGGTTGTGTAGCCTTTTTCTGTGTGTGTCATGCCGGTCGACCTAAAGTGTGACAACAACTGACAGGGTTATTAGTAGGAGGGCACATCTGATGTAAACCCCGAGAAAATTTGGGAGTTTTCTGTCTTTTCAGTTGAGCTTGAGGTTTTGTTTTGGCCACAGAGTTAGATGACCATTATTAAAACTCTGGGGAATAACTAATTTTTTTTAATGTTCATCAAATTTGGCATTAATGTACAAGGCCATTTGGGAAAAATCTAGTTGAGTACAGAACAGATCCTGAAAAGTTTTGTTTTGGGTTTTTTGTTTGTTTGTTTAGGTCATCCCCTTAAAGCATTTTCTGCTTCTTTCTAAAAACTTGGACTTTGAGAAAATTCAACCAAAGCATGTTTCAAAGTATATTTTTTAGCAGACTGTTTCCAAGGTGTCTAATGAGTGTGGGGAAAGTATTGTTTACTCTAATAATCTGAGAGATTTAAAGTACATATCATCAAGTTAAAAGCTCTGAGAAATTTTATGTCTTTCAAAATGTGTCCACCTTCTATTCTTTATCATCTTTTACGCTCTGCCAAACCTGTTATACTAAACCCTTTTGGGGAAACACTCCTGGATCCAATTAGAATTTATGCAGGGCATTTTTCATTGCAAATGTTAGACGTGTATAGGCAAAGAAAAAATTTTGGAAAGGGTTTTTTGAAGTCTGGTGTAACTGAAAACTTCAGGGATAGATTTGGGTAGATTGAAGCAGAGCTGGATGGAGAATATTGTTTCTCTCCATCTCTTAGCCCTGCTTGCCTTTAGTAAGTGCTTCATTCTTAGGAAAGCTCTTTCCGTGTGGGAGCAAAACTGACCATCAGCGCCTCCAAGTTTGCAGTTTTTACCTGCTTAAGAGATTTCGGGGGGAGAGAGGTTCTCTCCGTAGTGCCAGCCAAGGAGACGGATTCTGATTGGTCCGGCTTGGTCACGTGTTCACCATTGACCTCGGCACTGTGGCCTGGAGACTGGGGCTGATTGGCCACACCTGGTAACACACCCGGCTCCTGAACCACGTGGACTGTCCGTAACTCGAAGAAAATCAATTTGTGATCCCAGAAGAGGAGGGCATGGATGCTAGGCAGATAAACACAGCAGGTGGCCACGGCAGCATTCTCAAGCCTGCAGGGCACGACTGTTTTCTCAGCACAGTATCTGTGTGTAGGCTGGGGCAGGTGCGGGAGAGGATCAGGGGATGGTAATTCCTGGTGAATTGCTTTTACGTGTGATGAATGCCCAGGTGAAACCACGTCAGAAGCTACTCTGAGCGTCTAAAGAATTATTTCAGTTTGACGTTCAAGGTTTGATGATTAAGAAGCTTTTGCCCGTAGTTGCATTTGGGGGCTTGAACTCAGGACTGGTGAAACACCTCTCTCTGCTCGGGACCATGGCAGCAGCTGAGCTCTGCTTAGGATAAGCTTGGGTGTAAAGGGCAGGGTCAGTGCTTAAAATGATCTCAGCCTGCAGGGCTCTAAAAGGGATGAAGCAGTTTTTTTTGTTTTTGTTTTTTTGAGTTAGTGCAATTCACACTTTGACTTTCACACCTCTGCGGACTGGAGATATTCAGGGTCGAGTCACATCCACCAGGTGGGGAATGAGAACACTGAATAGGAATAACAAGGTCCCTCTGGTTTTGAAGAACTTTCTGGAATCAACTCCGTTACCATCAAGCTGTCACAAGGAGAACACCAACCATGAGCAGGAGATGGGATGAAAGGGCCAAAGCAGCCTGCAGGAATGAGGTTGCATCCTTAAGGCTGGCATTCCTCAGAATGGAAGGTCTAGATCCTGCCCTGGGATCGGTGGACGCTGAGAACAAGACAGCACACTTCACATGACCTGGACAAGAGTACTCTGCATGCAGGACTTCAGAGCCCACAAGACTTACGAGAACCTATCTCGGGAACCAGTTAGCCTGTGGCTGCTGAGCTGTTGTGGGTCTGAGAGGTGATGGGAAGGCCCCTTGAGTCTCCCCTGAGGCAGAAGTTGCTTCTGGCTCCAAGAGTTCAGAGCTGTCTGTTAACCTTCCTGTCCCGGGATATGGGCCTTGGACCATCCACCTGCTGCTTGGGTACTTGGAACCGGACAAAGATGTGGAGAGGTAAGAAGGGAGAGTGCTGAAAAAAAGAGGTGCAGGGACTCTCCATGGCCTAAAGGTCATAGTGAAAGGCAAAAGCCAGAATACTGGGCTGGGCCTCCTTAGGTGTGGATACTGGAGGAGTCAGGTTTTCGGTTTCTACATACGTGGAGCAACTAGATGGTGCTGCATTTCATAGTTACAGTGCCAGAGGGCTAGAACACCATCTCTAACATTCCATAGTTCTAGAACATCATCTCTAACACCAGCTTGTCTCTAGTAAAGGACATTCCTCCCAGCAGGAAATGGAAATAAGACCAGGTGACTTTGACCCTACCCCTAGGGGAAACGATTCCACACACACACACACACACACACACACACACACGGCTGACAAAGAAGGAAGTGGCTTATGGTGTACAGAAGACATTTTAATACACACAGGCACACTGACGGTACACATGCTACAGCTCAACAGAAGCACAGATTTCCCATCCAAGGGCTACCTGTTCACAACAGCACAGTTTGTGAACTGTGTTTGGATTTTTCACATCCGTGTTGAATATCAGACACACAGACTGTAGGAAACGGTAATCACAGGCACAGTTTCTAGGAAACAGGAATTTGTGTCGACAGAATGCAGGGACAGCTGGATACTGAAACAGTTCACTGCTTTTCATGCCTTTTCATTCAGCCCTTGAAGAATTAAAGCCTTAGCATTACTGTGCCAGCCCAAAGCAGCACCACTGGCCCCTGCTAGCTCTATGACCCACTCCTTCTCCCTAGTTATTTATTCATCAATCCAGTCTGGAAAAGCTATTATGTGATGAAGTCTAGTTTCTTCTGCTTAAAACGTTACTATCAGTAGTAGCATTGTTGGGAAATTATGTGAGATAGTATACGTAATCTAGAGCACTTAGAATGGTATATGGTTCAACCGAAGACTATATATGTTTGCTTTCTTCATGGTATTTTATTGTGTATATGCAATATAATTAATTTAGCTAGTTTCCCAAAAAAAAAAAAAACCCTTTACTATCAGAAGCAGCCTAACCACGAATTAATTAAGTGACCCTAATTAATGGAGCAATGCTCTGTGCGGCTTGACATTCGTTCCTGCCCCAGCAATGCCCTCAGCCAAAACCAGTGCTGCCTTTTGGGGTTGAGCCATTAGCAGAGCCTCTCCTTCCGTGGAGTCCGGGTCATGGCCAGGGTCACAGGGCTGCCCCACCCATCCACTAGCGGTCCCTGTGGATGCACTGGGGTGGGTGACCCTGCTACAGTGCCAGAGGGTTAGAACCAGGATGCCCCTGGTCTTCCAAACCTGCTCACTTTTCAGATGTTCCACACAGGTAAGGGAGGAAGCTGTGAGGAGAAAAAGATGCCAGAAACGCCGGACAAAAGGAATTAAGAGTCACCCTGTTTTCTAAAATGCTTAGCCCTGAGCCTTCGTTGTCACACACCTAGATGAGATATGCTCCACCCTGTAGGGTAGTAAATTTTAGCCCAAGTTATGGAATAAAACCCAAGGATCTGAGTTCAACAACTAGCAATCATGGGTGAGGATTTAAGAATTCTTCTATTTTTTGGAAAACATTTTTGTCCTAACACTCAAAATGTCCAGTGGCGGGAGGTGCTTAAAATCAGCCGTTCTGTACCGATGGATACAATGCTTTTTCTTTTCTAACTTGAAATATTACGTGGTGGGTCTGTAACCTGATGAGGACGGGAAATCCATCTTACCTCTCTAGTCAGTGCATCCATGGTTCTTGACAGCCCGTAAGGGTGCTGTAGGCGTGGAATCAGGTCATTGGAAGTAAAAACTAGGGATTCAACCTACAGAGGTTGTATTGGGTTCCTATCCCATTATAAACTGTATAGATGTGAAATGGCACAAATGATTTAACTCCCATCCCAATGGAGACCCTACCAATCCCATTGCACTTGGGTGTTTCCCAGTCTCATTTGGGATGATATAAGGTCAGAGCGAGAGAAAGAATCAGGTAACTGGAGAGATGAGGCGACAGCACATCAAGGCTTGAATTGAAACAAATGAAATAAATTGGTAAACATGCAAATGGCCCTGACACTCCTGGTTTCCAACCAGGAGCAGAATCTGGTCACCTCCTTGTAGCTCTTGTCAACCCATTCCCCCTCCTTGGGAAATTGAGCCAGAGTTTATAGTGTTTGGAGAAAAACATAGCACAGACATATAATATGGGGGAAATGTAGAGAAAAGGAATCAAACAGAACACAAGAGCTGGCTTTTAATTCTTAACAAAAATATGGTTACTCTTCAAGTAGAGAGACACTATTTCACAGCTTTTCAAGGCCAGAAATGTGGGGCCTATTAGCTCAGTGGGGAGAAAACCATCAGTGCTGAATTAAAGTTCAGCACTGGCTTCCTGCCCGTGTCTAGTTGTCCCAGTGCGACCTCCCTTCTGGAGAAGTCCTATGTAGCTTGCGGCCGTCTCTGTTACTTCTGCCCATTTCCACCTGTCTGGTCTCCCCTGTTGCCAGCTTACTGCCACCCTGCTAAGGCCCATAGTCTCCCTAAGTAAGGACAAGGTTTAGGTGATCTGAGTGGCCAACAGATAAAGCAATCCCCCACCAACCCTGTTTATTCTTGAGTCTACCCAGCAGCATCTGTGAGTTGCCAAAAATAGTTCTTCTGCAAAGATCTTCTGGGTATCAGGGGAGTAGAGTTACATCCCAACTTAGGTGAATTAAACTTTGTGTTTGGCAAAGAAATAAATACAATATAAAGAAAAAGTGAAATATCAATACTATTTTAAATAGGGGATTCTGCCCGCCATTCTTACAGTAAGCACAAGTAAGTATTGCTGTTCCCTTAGTCAGCCTTAGACCTCTCAGATGTGTGGGCATCCCACGGTTCTAAGCGTGTGATTCTAGTTTATAAAGGCATGTATAATCTGTTCAACACTTTAGTGCATCTTTTATTAGCCAAAGGTGAGACCAAAAAAAAAAAAAAAGAACCAAAAAAGATGACTCGTTTCATTAGTGAAGGGTCTCATGATATTGGGCTTCTCTAAGAAAAGATACTCACCATATGTTGTGTATATTAAAGGAATTTTTCAAGGGTAAATTTTACTATCTTCCAAATTCACCTCACAATCTGACAGACTGTAACTCCCATATAAGATACAACTTCAGGTACTACAAGGTGGAGGTGCTTTCAATGTGACAATGTTCTTTTCTGATGCTCTCCGGACACAGGTCTCTGGTAGTCATAAGAGGACAATTAGCTCTCAAGGAACATGCTTCTAGAAGAAGGCCAGTGGTGTGCTAATATTTCACAACTGGCTTCCTGGCGCCGGGTGGGGGGGGGGGCCGGAAAGGGTGGAAAGCCCTGATTTGTAGCATCTGCCAATTTCCATGATATAAATACTTCCACCATCACCAATTTCAACTCTCAACTTCACATCACTGTACGGGGTGCTGGGACAGATGCGCATAGTGGCTCTTACAATTGATACAAGCTGGTACGGTGTTCTGACTTAAGCACACCACTGGAAGGCCCTCGTCAATCTGTGTTACTTATAATCTGGTTCCACTCATTTCTTCCTGAATGAATTCCTTACTCCTATTCAGTCGGATTTGGGGATTCTGACCAATTTATGAAGTTTTCTAACTCTGAAGAGATTCGCTCCATCACCCAGCAACGTCCATTTGTCACAGTGTAATTAGGAGTGGAAAAAATAAATCTGCGTCCAAATATTCCTTTTAAAATAAAAATAGAGGCTGTTTAGAAGAACAGAATGGAGAACAGTGGCAGTAAAAAGGCAACATAGGGCTCACCTAGTATTACATTCTCGTTTTTAGATGAAAAAACTGAAGCAGAGAAAGGGGGTAAGTAACTTGCTCAAGGTCGCGCGGTAGTGAATCTAGTTCCCGGGAGCCTGGGGACTCTTCTCTGGGTCGTGCTGCCTCCCTCCAAAGGTATTCAGTCATATTTTCTAAGGTGTGTGAGGTGTGGAGAGGTGAGAATTTCTGTCAGCTCTTCCTGACGTGGAAATGTCCCAAGAAGATGTTGAGGACTTCATGGGTTATTCCGGCCATCCTTTTCTTGTGGGTCTTTGGTTTGTTCCAAGGCTTGATTGGCTTGTCTTTTATTAAAGTCCTTTTTGACTCTTAAAAGGAAAAAAATAAAGTGGGTTTATTCATTGAAGTGAAAAAGAAAAGATTTAAGCTTTTGAAATGATAGCATTAAGGCCAACAATTTATAAAGAGGCGTGAGCCAGGGTAACTCTTACAAACATCATTGATTTTAAGTGTTGAAGTCCCCGTTCTTCTGCCCTTCCCATCAACAGAAACCTGATACTAAGCTAATTTACCTATTACAATTTTTGAAATCTCTTACAAGAAAAAAAAGTTTCTGTATTTTCCAGATTTTCTATCATAGATATGCATTATTTTTGTAATCAGAAAGAAAAAATGTTTAAAACTATATTAAGTCTTTGCAAGTTGAATCTGGCTGAAACACTCCATCATTCGCTGAGCTGCTGTTCTTCCAGGGGTTACTTACTTCTCTCGGTTGAAAATTATGAACTCCTTTTGGACAGATTCAAGGTGCTCCTGAAGAAGGCACATCTTCCGGGTGAATGTTGGAAAAAAGATAGAGGTATAGTTAGCAGACCAATGAAGATCCTCAAGTAGCCAATAACCTACTGAGTGTCTGTTAACTGAGTGGCCCAAATCGAGGAGGACCAGTGTGTCCTCAAAATAGATGCTATCTGAGAGTTTGTAGCAGGAGTGAGACCACAATGAGATTAATAGAGGAGCATAGAGGAAAGAAACAGGGAAAAATACATCAACTCTCTGCTCCCCACGATGAGGCAGCAAAGAAGACCTGGGTTATGGTTTACGAGCTGGATGTCTTTCAGCCATTTAGCCCAAGAAACCACGGCTTCAAGGCAGATGGGCACAAGGGTTTATTAAGCTGGTCACCTATTTGCTTCTCATCTCCTGGCCCTCATGTAAAAGGTTTGGAGGTTCTGAAACCAATTCCCCCTAAAACTGAGTTCCCCTGCCAAGTTTATGATTAATCTCTCTGTCCAAAACTTTATTCCCTTTTCTGTCCTGCCCCTGTCCCCCTCAGGATTCAAAGAGAAGGGGAGACTGAAACTGAGCAGGACCCTGTGGGGCCTTCCCACGTACAAAAGTCCCTCTGTGCCCCCGTTTTTCTTTGTAGAGAAAAAAGGCTTTAGTCTCCTAGGCCTTTCCCAAGTTCCAAAGAGCACTGAAGCAGTTAATTATTAGGACAATAGAATCACAGGACTCCCATTTCCTCCTGAAGGGAACTGGATAACCATCTGATGCATATCTTTGAGTTGTTCTGTAGAAACTCAGACCCTCCAGCCAAGTGGGGGGATGGTGACTAAATGCTGACCAGAGCACGTAGGCCCCAGGCTGGTTGGAACCAGAGGGTTGAGATTCCCAAAACATCACCCCGTTCCCTCGCCACCAACCGATCAGAAGAAGGTCCATGAGCTGAACACGCATCCTAGGACCCTCTCTCCTAACACTGTCTTTAAAAAACCCTTGTCTGAAAGCCATCGGGGAGTTTGGGTCTTTGGAGCCCATCCCCTCCTCCCCTTTCACCTTGCTTGACCCCTGCCATAAACCTTTCTCTGCTCTAAACTCAAACATTTCGGTTTGTTTGACCTCACTGTGTGTCAGGCACACAAACTTGGGTTCAACAACAGTTCTGCTTGGATTTAACGAGTAGCCTAGAAACATGTCTTCACGCTGAATTCGGATTGACTGTTCCCCTCAACTGCGCTGGGGCTGATTATACTTCAGTTGTGGTGAGCAGGCTTCTCCAGTTGTGACTTTCTCACAGATTTGCAAAGCATTTGCTTTGCTGCTTCACTGTCTGGCTGTCAGTATCTCTAGATGACGTTTCCAACATAATCAGAAAATGTAACCTCAGAGAAATGACCATCATGAGGCCCAGTATAGTATCAGCCCCAGATCAAAGGTTTTAAAAGTCTGTAACAAAATACTTCCAAATGACTTCTGATGACAAATATTCTTCTTGAAGGAAAAAATATCATTCATTCATTTTGTTTTTAAATCTAGGAATTAGAAAATACTAAGTCTTCAAGTACCAGAGAGTTTTTTTTTTTTTTTTTTTAACCTTTCCTGAACAAATAATTAAGTGTTGGGAGAGTAAACTATAAAAAGGAGAGGACATTTTCAGAGAAGGGGTGGGGGGAAGCAAAACAAAGGAGAGAAAAGAGATTCTGCTACACCTCACTCTTATCCTCAAGTTGGGGTACCTGTAACCCTGGGGGTTTCCAGTATCAGTAATAGGGGACATGAAGCTATGGGATAAACATGATCTGATAGAGCTCCTGGGGGCAGCAGATTTACCCCAAGATTGTAGAACAAATATTTTTAACATTTAAATATTACATAAAAATACATAAATATATAAAATATTACATAATGTCTTAACACATTTATATACTTTATATGTTTATATAAACATGTTTATGTTTTATATATGTTTGTATTTTATACATATACATGTTTCTATATGTACATATTTATGTATTTATATATATTATAGACATAAAAATATATGTATAATATAAACATAAATAAATACATAAACATACAAAATGTTATATAAAGTTTAACATGAAGATATTTAAAATATTAACATTTTAAAATATTTTAACATTAAAAGTCAAGATTATAGTCACTAAAATGCAGAAATTCACTCAAGTTCTTTTCTCTGTCATATAACTCTGTTTTATTTAAACAAAGATGTAAAGTGCACACTCAGATGAGTTTGTGATACGGCACTGCAAACCCTATGAGTCCCACCCTGGCCCTAAGGGCTCATGTGCCACATGTTCTTTTTCCTCTACTTTAGTTGGAAAAGTTTAAGAAGTGCAGCTACATGGACAAGTCAACAGCAGTAGCCAGAGTATGAGGGAGAGGAGTGGGGAGCAAACAGAATGGAGGAACGAATGAGTCTTATGTGGTTGAAAAGAGAACTACTGATTAAAAAATGTTAGAATGTGCTTCTCAGGGATGACAGAGCAAACCGAGATTAGACTGGTGTAAGTAGAGATGGCATCAGAAATATCTGAAGGGTTTAGAGCAGGTGGAAATCTCAGGAGGCAGAAAAAGAGGACTTAGGTCATTTGCTTCCATAGCAGGCAGACTGGGTGTGTGTCAGTCTTTTTGGTTCTCTACTTTAAAGGGGCTGATGAGCAGAGAGGGTCAGTGGAGAACATCCTGGATGCAAAGAAACAACAGAGGCATCTACTGTGAGCATGAACCAGAGTCATGGAAAAGAATGGAGTTAGAAGTCAGGAAGTCGAGCAGAAAAGTAAAACATAAAAAATGGCTAACTTTTTTTTTATTTTTTAGGGTTAGCTCTTTAATTTTTTTTTGTTTCTGTTTTTTAATTTTTATTTTATACTGGACTATAGTTGATTTACAACGTTACTAACGTTGTGTTAGTTTCGGGTGTACGGCAAAGTGATTCATTATACATATAGCTATTCTTTTTCAAATTTCTTTTCCCATTTAGGTTATTACAGAATATTGAGCAGAGTTCCCTGTGTTATACAGTAGGTCCTTATTAGTTATCTATTTTGGATATAGTAGTGTGTATATGTCAATCCCAAACTCCCAATCCATCCCTCCCCCACTCCGTCTCCCCCTTAGCAGCCACAGGTCTGTTCTCTGTGAGTCTGTTTCTGTTTTGTAGATAAGTTCATTTGTGTCATATTTTAGATTCCACATGTAAGTGATATTCTGTGATGTATGTCTTTCTCTTTCTGACTTACTTTACTTAGTATGATAATCTCTAGGTCCATCCATGTTGCTGCAGATGGCATTATTTCATTCTTTTTTATGGCTGAGTAATATTCCATTGTGTATATGTACCACATCTTCTTTAACAACGGCTAGCATTTTGGCAGACATGTACTAATTGACTCAGAACAGTCTATGAAGTAGGTAGCAATACTAACTCCATTTTATAAATGAGGAAGCAGAGACACAGGGGGGAAAGGAAAACTTTAGTGCTTTTACTTTATTTAATCATGGCCTGCATTCTACAGCTGTAGGTGGTAACAGTCACTGCATACCTGAATCACCTGAAGAACTTAAAAAATCCTGATGCCCAGGCCACACCCCCAGATTCAGCTGAATGAATAAACAAGCATGATGATGAAGTAAGGAGCTGCTAAGACTGACTCTCACATTTTAAAATCCTTGAATAGAGATAAAGTGCTACTTTGAGATGCACCATCTTTCTGATTCTTCTTTGAGGGAAGGCTACTCTTTGTTTTGAAACAAAATCCTTTTTATTTTTAAATGGAGGCTCTAAGATTAGGAGAAACTAGAGCAAAATGATGGCAGAGGCAGCTCCAGACCCCCAACCCTCAACAGAGACATCAGAAAAACAAACAGAAACTGTTAGGGCCAACACTGTCAGAACTCTGGAAAGCAAGCAAAGGTTTATAGCAACCAGACAAACACTGAATCAGGAAAAAAGCAACTTAAAAATGGTCCTGGTGTTTAAGGAAATCTCTATCAAAATATTATCTGAACACAAGCTAACATAACAAGAGACAGCAGTGGTGATGCATGACAAGGAATAGCCTTTTTGCAGAATAGTTTGTAAAAGTCACTCAAAAATGCAAGTACAGCCTTCAACAATCAAAAAACAGCAAACCCTAGAGAAGAAAGGGGAGAATCTGATTTCTGGACTTACTGGATTGTAATAGTCAACTAGCAAGTTTTCAACAAAAATACCACAAGGTGTACAAAGAAACAAGAAAGTATGGCCCATTCAAAGAAACCAAATAAACTGACATAAATCATCCCTGAGGAAGCCCAGACACTGGACTTACTAGACAGCGACCCTAAAACAACTATTTTAGGTATGCTCAAATAGTCAAAGGAAACCATGGAAGGAAACCATATGTTAGGCCACAAAACAGGTCTCAATAGATTTAAAAAGATTAAAATCATACAAAATATTTTCTCTGACCACAATGAATGAAGCTAGAAATCAAAAACAGAAGAAAAACTGGAAAATTCACAAACGTGGAAATTAAACAACATATTCTTAAGCAAGCGATGTGTCAAAAAAATAAATCACAAGAAGAATTAGGAAATATTTTGAGGCGAATGAAAACAAAAATACAACATGCCAAAACTTAAGAGATGCAGAGAAAGGCAGTGCTCAGAGGGAACTTTATAGCTGTAGATATCTACATTAAGAAAGCAGAAATATCTTAAGGTCAAGAATGGCATAGTACAAGGGTTGGGGTGGGGGAAGTAGACAGATCATATAGAGCATGGAAGGCATGGCAAAAGTTACTCACAGATTGCTGTCATCTCTAAAACTTTAGAAAACTTGTAATTAAGATGATGTCCTGTACTTGGCTACATTTGGGGGTCTGTTAACAGAGGAGCCTGCATAGGCAAGCTTTCTAGGTGCGAAGGAAGGAGCTGGCCTGGAGAAGCTGGTTGGTTATGATATGAAGAAGAACAGGTCATTAGGAGGAAGATGGGTGAAGTAAAAAGGAAGAAGCAAGATGGATTTGTGGCATAGCTAAGCATTCCTTGGAGGGCCCTAGAAAACACTTAAGGATGGGAATCTGGTAAGAGGCCAGTTCTGTGGACAAACAGGATGTGGACTTCGGTTAACTGACCGTTAAAGGGTATACTAGCCCCTGAGGACTAGAGAAATGAGGGACATTGAGGATACTTATTTGTTTGAAGAGCTATTTTCACCACAAGACTATGCAATCTTTGAGAACAGAGATGTCAGTGAATGCAGGAATAATATCTCATCTATATCTCTCTCCAGTGTTGAGCACAGAATGTGGCAGATAATAGGGATTCAATAAAAATAGCCTAAACAATTGGATGGGGGGAGGGATGGAGGGGTGGAGAGATGGAGGAATGGAGGGATGGAGAGATGCAGGGATGGAAGAATGGAGGGATGGAGAGATGCAGGGATGGAAGAATGCACGACCATTAGTTGAGTGGGTAGGGTGACGGGTGGATGAATGGATGGCCATTAGAGGCAAAATGAATGTTTGTTACTTTACCATCATTATAATATGCAGAACCACATGTATAAAATCCTACTGAGTCCCTGCAGGTTACCCTATTGAAATCTGACCTCGAACTCTGACAGAGGATAATGCAGTTAGTTACAAAATTAATTTGACTCAGCCTGAATTCCAGCAATAGTGCTCACCCGTATAAGAGTTCTATCTTTTCTGTGAATAGATACTCCTTACTTCTGCTAGCCCTGATATCACAAGATTCTGCGTCCGGCAAAGAACAGACACCCCCGTCTAGGGTCTGCTGCTCCCAGTGAGTCCTTGGAGTGTGGCCCAAAACAGCCACCATGTGTGTACTGTAGAACCAGCCCATTTCCATCATTTTAGGGATGGTCACCTGACCTAGGCTTGACCAATTTGATTTTCTCCCAGGAGATTGCAAAGTTTGAATTGAGAGCTGGGAGAGGGCAGTAAGGGAATCAAGTTAATGGCAGAAACCTAGGGGGGAGGAAGTCCACCTGTGAAATGTTGCTGCTGGGACCCCCCAGAGCTGCCCTTTCAGAAGCTGGGGTGTTCAGCTCCGCCTCACATTCATGAAGCAGCCAGTTCTCGTGGGATGGCCGCCCACCAGAAGCTCTCCCACGAATTGCAGCTGCCACGAAGATTCCCACGACCCTGGGTCTGAGGGGACTGCTTACCTGGGAGGAATCACATTTCCTCATTTCCTTCTCCTTCTTGGCCAGGCGCTTCTTTTTCTTGTGAAGAGGCTTGGACTCCAGAATCATTTCTTCGAGCTCAAAGGTGGGGTCGCAATTCAGCCTGCCTTTCTGCAAGGAAGACAGGTTGACGCACTCCTTAGATACCTGTATCTTTCTAAAACTAGACCCAACCGGATAAGGAGAATAACACTCCCTCCTGCAGGAGCAGTCCAAGAATAACGAGCTCGGAGTCCCACTTGAAGTTTGAAATAATTTATTGCCAACCTTGCTTTTCATGTTCTTTGATTTTGTATATTTTTCTAAACTCCCAAGGAGCCTTCCATGAGTTAGAAAGGAAATCCTATTATAATTATTTTTCTAAAGTTTGCCTTTGGGGCTGTTTCTTGAAGTGGGTTCAAGGGTAGATCAGAATCACCTGAGTTGATTCCCCGTTTCCCCAACCAGACCTGGAGAATTAATGTTTCTGAACGCGAGGGCCAGGAAATTGCATGTTTAACGAGCTGCCCAGATGATTCAGATGCACAATTAAGTCAGAGAAGTCTAGGTAGAAGGTCTCTCGAGGCAGCGCTCATTGCAGGGTGCATGGCAGAGCAGAAACAACAGGAAAGGTGCCTGGATCTCCACGGCGTCACGCATCACCCACGGTGCAAGCGGCCCCTGCTGGACCCTGGAGGGTGGCCAGGTAGGACCCCACCCCTCTGCTCCTCCATGAGCTTGTTATTCTGCCAATCTGCCGACAACTGAATGTGTAAAATCAGGCTGTGGGGAGAGAGGGGAGTCAGGGCGCTCACTTGGTCCCTTGGCCGGAGCTTCTGGGTCTGGCTTTTACCAGCCGACTGCGGGAGGCCACAGATGCCTTGGCCGGGTATAGACGGTGGGAATTATTTCGCTTTGGCTATTAGTCATTGTGAATATTGGTCCAGCATAGAACTACCAGAGGAAGAGGCGTGCATGGTAAAGATAAATACCCCACCCCATCCCCAGCAGCTGTCAGTTCTTTGACTCAGAACTCCTTGGATACAAATTTCTATATCTTTGGAATCAGAGAAAACTTTTTTTTTTAATTGGCAGATTCCCAGAAATGACTGTTTGTAGGATTAGGACTTCCATTAAAAGTAAGCCACAGGGGCTTGCCTGGTGGTGCAGTGGTTGAGAGTCCGCCTGCCGATGCAGGGGACACGGGTTCGTGCCTTGGTCTGGGAGGATCCCACATGCCGCGGAGCGGCTGGGCCCGTGAGCCATGGCCGCTGAGCCTGCGTGTCCGGAGCCTGTGCCCGCAACGGGAGAGGCCACAACAGTGAGAGGTCCGCGTACCGCAAAAAAAAAAAAGTAAGCCACAAAACGTGGTTAGGAGCTGGAACTCCCAACATAGATCTAGATTAGAATCTCAACCCAGCTGTGTGACTTTGGTGGCCCATCTACCCTGTGTGTGCCTCAGTTTTCTCATCTGTAAAATAGAAATCTGGGCTGTCTTACAACATTGGCGCGTTATCTAATGAGACCATGTGCATATCTGGCACACAGAGTTAATGTGCATTGAATGAGAGTTACTATGGGTTTGTTAAGATTGACTCACGTTAGGAATAAATCCTGGAATGAGCCTCTTCTGCAAAACTGCGTCCCAGTTCATATCATTCATATATGGGAAGTTTTGAACATCAGACAAATGGGAAAATCGTTGGTCTGGATTCGGTTCCAGTAGCTGCCAATGGAATACAAACACCAAGATCATGAGGAAGGTCAAAACTTGGAGTGCAAAAAAGCATACAGATTCCCTATGAATATTTCCAAGTATAGGATTGAAGGAAACAAGTAGTGTTCTCCCTTCTTAGCCCCATAAACAAATACTATAGATGAGTGGTCAGAATGAATTGTAAGTTGGTTTTTGTAAGTTGCAACGTGGTGAGTGAAAATAGCTTGTCCTACTGAGTCAAACTTATGTGTGATTACTGATTCCCCAACTTAGTAATGATGGGCAAGTTTGTTCTCTAAACCTCAGTTTACCCATCTGTAAAAAAGGGATAATAAGCTATTTCATAAGGTTTAGCTACGATTAAATCAAGCCATGTATATAAAGTGGCCAAGAGGTCTGTTCTTCTTACGTGGAAAATGTACATTGGTTTTAACAAATGAAATTTATTTCACACTAGAAAATTTAGCCGTTTTTACCACTAATCAAAATATACTGGGGTGAAACAGATAAGATGTAACTAAGGTTGCTGTGATAGTTCTGGGGTTTATGAACTGGGATTAAAGAATTTTTCCCCTTTAACCACTCCAGAGCCAACATCACTTCAGTCCTGTGGCTCAAATGGAAAATAGCAGTTCCACTTGAGAATGGGCCTGGAGGTGACAGCCATGGGTCATCAGTGTGCACTTTTGGGATGATAGCGCTGTCTTGGAACTAAGGAAAATTTGCTTATGGAAAATGACCCCCGCCCCCATTCTGTATCTTTGACATCACCAACGGCAATATCCCTATTCCAAAACAGAACACTGGACCCATAGACAAGAGACATAGGTTTTGAATTCTTAGCCCCCAAATCTCTTTTCCTTGACCAGTTACAACCTGGGCAATTTTCTCTCTTCAGAAAAAAGCCAAGCTCATCCTCTTAGGCTCCTCATTCTTTCTTTCACGTAATTATTCACTATACATGACTGAGCTCTCACTACAGCTGTCCTTAATCTTTCTGGTGAACACAGGCACCTTGAAAAGCTGAGGAAAACTGTGGACCTCATTAATTTAAATACCAAAGTCTACCACCTGTCATACTCTGTGTTAAGTGCTGAGGACACCATGAACAAGTCAGACGTGGTCCTTCCCTCATGCAGCTTAAAGAACAATGGTCATTAACCCAAGAGTCACACACGTGCAATGTATAATTTAAAAGTGTGAAAAATATGATGAAGGAAAGTTCGTGCTGTGTGATCTGAAAACAGAGGGAGGCTCCCAGAGGAAGTGATACGTGAGCTGAGATCTAAAGATGTGTTTCTCAAACTATGCAGAAGGGCCAGTTATTTCTCTTTGTTTGTTTGGTTTAATTTCCAACCCACTGAAGTCAATATGAGGTGTTACTGTGCATGGCTGGTGTAGAACACCACACGGTGTGCAACTTGTGATTTGAGTTCAACATCACTGCATAGGCTTGGACCCTATTCAGTGAGATGAGTCCCTTGACGATGTGCTTTGAGGTATCAGAGGTATCAAGTTGCTATAAAAGTTTTAAAATACTTCTCTCAATTTCTGTACATGTTATGGACCTGTTGGAAGTAATTCGTGGACTTGAACCAGTCAGTGAATCGCATTAGTAGTACTGACCTAAAGGAGGGAGCTGGAAGAGCTGGGGATGGGAGCAATGTTCTAGGCAGTGAGACGAGCATGTGCAAAGGCCCTGTGGTTAGAGAATGATATATGAGGGTGAGGAGGGGGAGGGCAAAGAGGAGAGAAAAGCAGCTCAAAGCAGTTTGTAGTCAAAAGGGGGACAACAGTCCAAAATAAGACTTGAGGGGTAGTTAGAACCTTTATACCATATAAATAATTTTGATCTTTATTCTAAGAACAATGGGAAGGCAGTAAACTTTGCATTGAACAGATCCCTATGGGGCACAGCAGAGAAGAGAATGGAGTGTATAAAAGTGTACAGGGGCAAACCAGTGAAAAGGCAAGACTTGATGGCAGGAGGACTAGGAAGATAGATGGAGAGAAGTGACAGATCCAGAAGACATTTAAAAGGTCAGATATGAACATGGTGATGAACTGGGTATGCGGATGATGAATGATTTCTGGTTCTGGCTTATATTAGTGGGTGGACGGAGATGCCAGAGCAGGAACGCTGGAGAAAGTCCAAGAAATAATGAGTTCAAGAATTCCATTTGGCACATGGAGTTTGAGATGTCTTTGGGACATTTAAGAGGACGTGTGTGTCACCTTATTAATGAAGCCATGTATTTGAAAGCTCTTAGCTGCAAAACCCACTCTGGAAATGTATTTATCGTGACTGCCTCCAATATTGTAACTTAACTTTTAACTTCAAACCAGAGCATGTGCTTCATTTTATCACTTCCTTTTGTCATGCATTTGTCCTTCTTACCTTTTTAAGAAGTGACACCATTTCCTGTGACCAGGCAGAAGGGTAAGTCACAAGCGCCGTCTCAAACATGTGTGCAATTTCCTTGCTGGAAGTACTGGAGCGAATGTGATACGGTCTCTTAAGGGAGAGAAGTAAGAGTCTTCATTTTTAAAGGGTAAAAGAAAAAATGTTCCTTTGCAAATGCTTCCAAGCTAAATTTTCAACTAGTAAAATCTAAATAGCATTTTCTAATCCCCTCCAGCCAATTGTTGTGTTGCCACATGCATATGTGGTCCACGGTTGCCAGATTTCCTACTTTTAAAAAAGCGTACCAGAAATCTATACATCCTTGTGAAATCTTGGAATTTTTAAAAGTTGGTAACCCTCTGGGTCAAAGGAAACATTTCTGTGGGCTAAATCCACGCCTGAGATGTCAGTTTGGAACTGTTTTGTAAGGTTAACTGATGTAAGTATTTACCTAAAACACTGGACAAGCGTTCAGTAAATGGAAATTTAAAAAATTGTTATTTAAGTGTTGATTATAAAGAGATTCAGAGTTTTGCCATACACACACCTCTTTTTACTTCTTCGAATCATAATGACTAAGCTCAGGTTAGAAGGTTACCCAGAAGACTTCAACCCCAGTCCCAAATGCTATGAGCTGCTAGTACTACGGAGTGGGGTGGAGAATTTTGTGATGAGGCAAAAGTATTTTTACCTCTGAGAGAACCAGATTCTTCTATAGTCCTAACTTGGGGGAAAAAGAAATTAAACAAAACGGTGGCTTTGTTATAATTTTCACAGATATCCACTAGAGGGCAGCCTTTACCTACATTGATTTCTCTGTTTCATACAGGATTCACCCTGGGATTGTCTCTCTTTGTGTGAAGTGAGCTACTTAAAGCTGGAGATTTTACCATCTTCACGTTTTTGCCCATGGGCCTAGCACCTAGTGAGTGCTCATTACATGTTTGTTGAATGACCACAAGTTTCATATTAGATTAACCAACAATAGGACAGTGAATATGGATATGTACATTTATCAAGTGCCTGACTCTTTCGAGATAATAAATGACCGTGGACCGATTTCTCCCAACTAAGTTGGGAGAAATGGAGGAGTTTAATTTTTTCCTTGTTGTAAATCATTATTAAAAGGTAACATAATGTAATTAAGTGTTGGAGCTCTGAAGGCAAAAGGATTTGAGTGCTAAACTGGGTCCGTCAATTTGAGTTTCAATTCCTTCATCTGTAAGATGAAGTTACTTCTGTAAAATGAACCACCTTAGGGGAGTGTTGGGAAAATTAAATGACATAATACATGTAAAGTTCTCAGTAGAGTGGCTAATATATATTAGACATAATACAGGAGAGAGATGATTATTGACATAAAGGTAAAAAGGATGGTGGCTATAAATGTAAATAATGAACAGCAAGATGAGTTATCAACAAAGGTGATGTGAAGGAAGGCTTAAGTCTATGCATGGCATGTCAACCGCAGTTACCCAGGGAACCAGGAAGTGCTAGGGGTTGACTCCCTAAAAGGGAGATTGACCAAACTTTATTTTTTTAATGCAAGGTTTAAAAACCCCTGCTGCATATTTTCTTCCCTCAAGACTGAATAAAGGACCATAGTTAGTTCATTTGTCTGAGTAATGATACAGTGGAAATAACCCTTGTAACTCAATATCAGAAAAAGAGTGCCGGTACCTTATCAGCATCATCAATGTTTATTGACTGTTTGCAAGCCAAGAGCACTGTGGGTCACTACATGTGATTCACTGCATGTTTACCGTTAAGAGCTGGGGCAGGTTGGCACACCAAGTTTCCCGGGTTATATGTATGTGCACATATATTTTTTCTAATTTTCTTTAATTCATTGATGTCTCGAAACCTGCTTTTGAGACATCTAAAAACACAAAATGCTTTGATAAACTAATAAAGGAACTAACAAATGCCACAAGCAAATGGCTTAAGTATGTTGTGGTTTTTTTCATTTACTTTAGGCCATATGACTGAATATAATATACATATATTTAAATCCTCATGCTCTGTCGACTTGTTCAAAATAGTCAAATTACCTTTGTCTTATACAGTAATGTATGTTTCTAGTTCCAAACTTGAAAATCCACATTAAGCCATCAACAACCAGAGCTTTATATATATTCATTTACCAAATATTGATTGAACGCCTACCATGTCCTGCACCTCTGCTGGGCCCTGGGGATACAATGAAGACAGGACAGATGGGATTTCTACAGTGGTCGAGCCTACAGTCTACTCAGCAAAACCATAAATAATAAGAGAGACTGTACACACACACACACACACACACACACACACACACACACATCAATGGAATACATGCTATAAAGAAAAATTACAGTGTGCACTGACAGGATATAGCAGACAGTTTTAGGGCAGCATATAAATTAAGAATGAGAATATAAAAAATAACCAAGGTGGAAAAGGTAAAACATTAGATGGGACAAAGTGAGGTGTTGTGATTATAGTCTTATTTCAGGAGTACAAAAGCAAAAGAGCTACAGCCAAGGACGTACAATTAGTGCAAAACGACGTACTTCCCTATCATAAGCTAATACTATGGACAATACAAAATTAGAGAAGACGTGGACCTTGCCTTTACAATGGCAGTGCAAGCGGGGACACAGAGAGGTGACAAAGCAGCTTAAGGGCTATGGGACCATGGTCAGGACAAGATCAGACACCAAAGGGAAGTTTCAGGCACATTTCCCTTTGAAGCGTATATTTTTCTGTTAATCACAATTTGTAAATGTGGAGGAAATGATTGTTTAGCACCCTTCCTCTGTGGTTTAGTTGTGTTGCCAGTTGTAATTAAATGTTGGTATTTCATTTCTTCAGATTAGCTATATTTTGAAACATAATTACATGCAGGCTCCTTGGTGGTTCTTTGTGAGAATGTGTCAGAATCGTTTTGTAGTGACTTGTTCCTCTGTACTTTCAACAAGCATTTGTTATGTACCTGTTGAAAGCTAAATATTGTGGAAAGTACTAAACTGTATAAAACACTGGCTCCACCTTTAATAAATTTACAGTCTGATGATATAGAAGAGATTAAAACCATAAAAATAGATATATCTGGGGCTCCCCTGGTGGCGCAGCGGTTGAGAGTCCGCCTGCCGATGCAGGGGACACGGGTTCGTGCCCCGGTCCGGGAGGATCCCACATGCTGCGGAGCGGCTGGGCCCGTGAGCCATGGCCGCTGAGCCTGCGCGTCCGGAGCCTGTGCTCCGCAACGGGAGAGGCCACAGCAGTGAGAGGACCGCGTACCACAAAAAAAAAAAAAAGAAAAAAGATATATCTGGAAAAATTTACAAGGGTGATACATTTGCGAAATAGATTTAATCCTAAAATGTAAAATAGATTTACGTGTTCTGATGTAGAAAGTTCTACATTTTATTTTAAGTGGAAAAAAAAAGTCTCAACAGGTTAAAGCATAATTCTCTTTTTACTGAAACAACAGTAACTATGTATATGCGCATGTATGTGAAAATGTTACCCTTATAAAATCAGAAAAGGTTTGGAAGTAAATACAAGCTGTTAATTCTAGAAGATGAGATTGGAAGGTCAAATGAGTTTTTAATTTATTAATTGAGAATTTTCTAAGTCTGTCCTTTCTTAGAAATGATCAATATACATGAGATATAAGGATTCTGTTCTACAATTAAGACACATCCTTAACTTTACTCAAACTTAATTTAGCAATTTCCAAACTTATTCAAAGAGTGATTTTTTTAAACAAAGGCCAGGGCTTATCTTAGGAAATACCTTTATAGGCAAAGGAACAAGAGGAAAAGAGCTCCAAGGGATGCCTCGAGACAGGAGGGAGTCCAAAGAGGCCGAAGTGAGTTTGTGAAGAGTCAGGGTCATTCAAATTGAAGCAAAATCTGAAAAGTTAATATGATTCTAACGGGCAAAGAATGCCAAGCTAAGGTGTCTGAAGAGTGTCAGGGAGAAGAGGGGTGGGTAAGGCAGGTGAAGGGTGTGTGTGTGTGTGTGTGAATATACGAGGCATTAGGGAGTAACAGCATTTTTTTTTAACATGAAGTTATATCTGTGCTTTACAAAAAAGAATCTGCATTCCCATGTTCATTGCAGCATTATTCACAATAGCCAAGGCACAGAAACAGCATAAATATCCATCAGCAGATGAACGAATAAAGACGTGTGTGTACATGATATACATATATATATTTATACACCCACATATATACATATATTTATAATATATACTTATATATGGTATTATATATTTACATATCATATCATTATATATGGATAAATTATAAATGAATAATGGAATATTATACATAACGTATATAATACATATCCATATACAATATATATGAATGGAATATTATTCAGCCATAAAAAAGGAAATCCTGCCTTTGCAGCGACATGGACAGACCTTGAGTCCAATACACAAACTGAAACAAGTCAGACAGAGAAGCCAAATAACTGCATCGTATCACTTACACGTGGAATCTTAAAAAAAAAAAAAATCAAACACATAGAAACAGAGAGTAGAATAGTTGCCAGAGGTTGAGGGTGGGGAAAATAGGGAGAGGTTGGTAAAAGGGTACACACTTTCAGTTGTGAGCCGAATGAGATCTGAGGATGTAAGTGTAACACAGTCACTATAGCTGATAACCCCGAATTTATATACGTAGATATGAATTCAGCAACCTCACAGTAACTACGCTTCACCTTTTCTAAGCAGAAAACGAAAAGAAAAATGAATCTGACAGTGTTAATACATTGTCAGTTACATCAAATCACAGGGAACTACCACGAGGTACAATAATATGGGAGGGAGAAAAAAAATCTTTTCTTAGCAAAATTCTTCCTAGGCATTTTCTTAGTTTAAGAAATGTTTCTTCTAAAAGGAAACTAGTCTAATTTGCCACTGAACCCAGAACTCAAGAGGCAAATGAAAGACAGGAATCCAACAAGACAGGGCATGAATTGTGTTGTATTAGTAATTCACACTGAATCAGAGCCCTGGACTCTGACTGCAAAATTATTTTCTTTAAACAAACAAATATATTTATATAAGATATGGAGTGACATATATTGATTTTCCCTCTCTGGGAGTTAATAATATCCCTATAATTCATTTAATTTTATCTGCATAATTTAATGTCAAGTCACATGCTTGGCCCCATATGTAGGAGAGTGAATTAATTATGGGCGGAAATCCCAAGGGTTTTTACCAGCACCACATGGCATTGTTGCTTTCATCTCTGAAACAAACTACTTGACTTTTGGCAAAAAAAAAAAAAAAAAAAAAATCCTTTCACTGTAAAAATGAAACTTGCTGGAAGAGTAACTAAAGAGAAATGTAATTCTACTGTACCCGGCCTCTCAACAGCTCATATGCTGTCACTCCCAGTGACCACCAGTCAACAGCAAAGGAATAACCTGCTTCTCTTCTGGAGTTGAACATCTCAGGTGCTGAAAAACACAGAAGAGTTAGGTCAGTTTTACTCCCTGAGACATTAACAAATCTATCTTCCCAACATGTTCCTCCAAAGGCGAATTACCAGGGAAAAGTGTACCAACACTTTTATGTGTGTTTATCATCCATTGCTAGATTGCTCACTGCAGGCAAAAGTTTCTAATTTTCTAGTCTTTCTCATTCATCACCAACACACACAGGCATACACAGCCCTTAATGGACAAATTCTTCTCTGACTTAGAGCATGCACCTATGAAAACTTGGATCCCATCAGGCCTCAAATGTGTGGCTGACTCTGAAAGCAGGAAGGCTGAGAAGAGGTTATATTCATTGTCTTGATTTGGAAGGGTTGTGATCAGGACGTAAATTTGTATTACTGCTGCAAACATTGTTCAGAATTTAGCTGCAACTACATGGGATTGACTCTCCATCTCAGCGTCATCTGGAAGAGGCAAAGGCAGCATTTGCAGACTGTACTGGGGCTGAGGGAGAGGAGAAAGGGTGGGACACTCTGAGAGAGACACGGTTTTCCATCACTTGTGGGGCATTGACCCTTTGTCCCATAGTTCTGTGAATTGGCTCCAGTGGAAGGCAGAACCTCAGTCAATCTTACCCCAGTGGAGACCCCTAGTTATGTGTTCTCTAACACACTGAGAACCTTCTACCTTCTACACACCCTTCCAAGAATGTACCTGACTCCTGAGGGATGGAGTGGGGAAAATGAAGTACAAAGCAAGGGCAGGTCTCTTCTCTGTTTGCTTGTCCAGTACCGAATCTGGCATCTAGTGTCACTCAACAGAAACTGGTTAAAAGAAGGAACAATACTGAACCAATCAATCAAGCCCTGGTTGCAAACATTAGCTGGAACCAGGCTGTCTGTGTTCACCAACTGCCTTCACCACTTATCGTGACCTTAAACGAGTCAGTGGGCTGAGCTTGAGAATCTTCATCAGCAAAATCAGAACAATGAGAAGGCAGTTCCTACAGAGGTGAGAAGCTAAATGAGATAATAATGCATGCCAAAATCTCAGCACAGTGTCTGGCACCTGGAAAGGACTCAAAAAACTAGGCACTCTTCTAGAGAGGCAAACATCCATAATAATGGGAATTTTACCTAGCCAAAAGTTGCACACTTGACCCAAGCCTCTGGTAGTAAGGTGCTGGCTCTGGACAAAGGAAATTGGTGTGATGTGGGACCTGCATACAGGTTTGCCCTGCCTGGTGCACTCAATTTCAAGGAAAATCCTGTGGGCAACATCCAATTAGAGAGGTACAATGTTGACATCCCAACGTCCGGGGTTGACCCAGACTATAAAAGCCCGCCGTAGCGGAACTAAGGAAGCTTCATTCCCTGGTGGATTCACCTTTCCTGCGTCACTGCATTCTTTCTGCAAGTCACAGCTCCCCGTGCAATTTGGGAGATAATGGTCCTGAACCCACGGTGCTCCCACAGACTGGATGGAGTGGGCTATACTTCTGCTTTCCCTTATCAGTATCTCACAGCAAGTCATCTGTAGATGACGTAGTCCCTCCAGGTGACAGATATCTCAGAGAAGCTGCAGAGAACTTTGAGGAATAAACAGACAACTGTGCTAAGAAATTATCCACCAGCATAAACATCACTCTATGAAAGCTGGGTATTCTGTCATCTTGGACCACCCTTGGAGTTTATATGAGTAGAATCCTCTTCTACTTACTGTTTTCCGGCATGAAGATACTTGAATATGCATTCATTCATTCAACAAATATTCATGGTATGCTAGGCATTAAGGAATTTTGGAAGAACACTAAGAAAAAACATGATGGCAACATACAAAAGCATAACAGGTGGGTAATTCTTTGAGCCCTCAAAGAGCTGAAAAGTCAGGGCAGGGAGATGCTGAGGGCTTCCATCAACCCTGCAGGAGGACTCCTTGCTCCTGAGATGGTACAAATAGAGGTGGAGAGGGACTAAGTTTCCTTCAAAAAAGACGTTGAGTATTTCATTTAGTTCTTAAACTATTTCCATACTTCCATTCAGAAAAGTAAATATAACATAAAAGAAAAATTAACAAGCATTTATAAGTAAATGGCCACGTAACCTTACACAGGGCACAATATAGAATCTTGACTCCACCACTGGGTCCTGTCCTGTTTACAACCATAGAAGTAACCACTATCCTGAATTTCTGTCGGTAATTTTCTTCTTGCCTTTCTACATAGATTTACTACCTGCGTTTGCATTTCTAAGCAACACCTTAGTTTTGCCTATTTTAATAATACATATGTTATATGTGTGTTGTGTATATATATATGTGTATATGACATTATGTATATATAACAGATGTGTGTATAACATATGTATATGTATTTGTGCATATATATATAACATGGGTGTGTGTGTGTGTTAAATCTTACTGCTCGTTTTCTTCGGTGACTTGCTTTTCTTGTTCCACATTATGTGTATAAAATTTATCCAACTTGCTGCACATAGTTTATTCACATTCAAAGCCATACGAATACACTGTCATTTACCTCCTTTCCTACTTTTAATAGCCATTTGGACTGTTTTCAATTTGGAGTATTTTGAATGATGCTCTCATGAACATTCCTGCACATGTAAGACTCCTCTAAGTCCACACGTCTTTAGGTTACATTTCTGGGAGGGGAAATTCTGGGATGGGCTGTGCATCTTCACCCATGCTAGATAATGCCACACTATTTACCACAGTGGTGGTACCAATTAACGCTCTGACTAGCAACGCATGAGACTTTGCTCAACCTCCTTATCCACTCTCGACATTAACTAACTTTGTGACTTTTCCAATCTAGTGGGTATGTAATGGTCTTCCATTGTGGTTTAAATTGGCATTCCCCTGATTACTAATAAGCTTGCCCATGCTTTAATACATTTATTAGCTATTTGGATTTGCATTATTTGGCTTTCAGATTTTAAAGCAACTGGACAGTAGATTCTGCTCAGGACATAAAGAAAGGGGACAAAAACTGATATATAAATATAGTACAACAGAAATAATTCATGGAATTTACAAAAATGATTCTAAATTTCCTCTATAAAATATGTGAATAATAAAGGTTTTCTGAAAAAGGATAAAGGGACTTGCATTCCATGTGTTAAACCACATTGTAAAGCTACAATAATTGATTTGAAAGCCACAGAATACAGATGCTAGTATATAAAAATACTTAGTTTATGATGAACATGTTTCAAATCAGCATGTATGGGATCTTATTTGATACATGGTCTCAAAACAATTATTTAAGAATATAACAAAAATGAAGTCACATCCTTACTGTATATCTTACCACATATATAGCTGGATTAAGAAAAATTAAACTATAACAAAAATAAGAATATAGGTAACCATGTCTAAAATCTAGAGGTAAGAAGATCTTGCCAAGAATATCATAAAAGGTAGAAGCTATAAAGTAAAAAGACTAATGGTTTAAGATCTGGAAGCAACCTAAGTGTCCATCAACAGATGAATGGATAAAGCAGATGTGGTAGATATATACCATGGAATACTACTCTGCCATAAAAAAGAATGAAATTTTGCCATTTGTAACAACATGGATGAACTTGGAGGGTATTATGCTAAGTGAAATAAATCAGAGAAAGACAAATGCTGTATAATATCACTTATATATGGAATCTAAAAAATACAACATCAAAAAGAGTCATGTACCAACATGTTCATTGCAGCTCTATTTACAATAGCCAGGACATGGAAGCAACCTAAGTGTCCATCAACAGATGAATGGATAAAGAAGATGTGGCACATATATAAAATGGAATATTACTCAGCCATAAAAAGAAATGAAATTGAGTTATTTGTAGTGAGGTGGATGGACCTAGAGTGTGTCAGACAGAGTGAAGTAAGTCAGAAAGAGAAAAACAAATACCATATGCTAACCCATATATATGGAATCTTAAAAAAAAAAAAAAAAGGTCATGAAGAACCTAGGGGCAAGATGGGAATAAAGACACAGACCTACTAGAGAATGGACTTGAGGACACAGGGAGGGGGAAGGGTAAGCTGTGACAAAGCGAGAGAGAGGCATGGACATATATACACTACCAAATGTAAAATAGATAGCTAGTGGGAAGCAGCCGCATAGCACAGGGAGATCAGCTCGGTGCTTTGTGACCACGTAGAGGGGTGGGATAGGGAGGGTGGGAGGGAGGGAGATGCAAGAGGGAAGAGATATGGGGACATATGTATATGTATAACTGATTCATTTTGTTATAAAGCAGAAACTAACACACCATTGTAAAGCAATTATACTCCAATAAAGATGTTAAAAAAATTAAAAAAAAATAAAAATAAAAAATACAACAAACGAGTGAATGTAACGAAAAAGAAACAGATTCATAGTTATAGAGAACAAACTAGTGGTTACCAGTTGGGGGAGGGAAGAGAGGAGGGGCAATATGGGGGGAGGGGCAATATAAGGGTAGGGGATTAAAACGTACAAACTACTGTTAGGTATAAAATAAGCTACAAGTACATACTGTGCAATACAGGGAATATAGCCAATATTTTATAATAACTATAAATGGAGTATAACCTTTAAAAATAAAAAAATAAAATAGACTACAAAAGAATATGACTAAGGGTTTGATGTTAGGAACATAGTTTTCATGTCAATAATGCTATAAGAACAGCAACTAAAAAGTAGGAAATTATATTTATAACACATGATACATTAGAATTTAATATCCTTTATATATAAAGGTCAAGAATTCTTTACATAATAAGAAATAGACAAAAATGTATTAATGCTCTAATAGAAAATGGGCAAAGAACATGAACAGGCAACTTACAAAAGAATTAAAAGCAATTTTAATGTCATAATGAGGTACCATTTTCACTTATCTTTTTTGCGAAGATTAAGATATTGACAGTGCAGCCCTGGTGAGGATGCAAGGAAGTGAATATCCTCAGATGCTTCCAGAGCAAATGAGTAGAAATCAACACAAACTTTCAGGAGGGAAATGCATTAACGTATATACCCTTTGACCAGAAATTCCTTGAATGGGGATTTATCACGGGAAATAAGTTGTTGCACATATTTCTGCTAACAGGATTTTTATCACAAATTTAGTTATATTTCAAAATGAGAAATAACCTAAAATTCAACAATAAAGAATTGGTTCAATAGATTTTGGTGCAGCCCTCTAATTCTGTAGCATGTGAACATTAAAAACGATAGTTATATATATGGGCCTGGACAAATAAGTAGTGTCAGTTGTGCAGAGCCAGGCTCTGAAGTCAGAGAGTAGTGGTTTCCGTTCTGGCTGAGATACACTTATTGCCAGTAGGCGGAGAGATAGCACAGCAGCGTGTGGAGGGTTAGACACTGGCATCCCTCACTGAATTGCTTTTAGTTTAAATGATGTCACACGTGCACTTAGGCCAGTGCTTGGCCAATAGGAAGAGCTCAGTAAATGTCAGCCATTACCCCTCCTGCTCTGTTGTCATCACCATCAGCATTCCAGACTTGAGACGCTTTCGATTTGGATTTAACTTTGTGCTCTGCCAGTTGCTTGCTGTGTGATTATACATGTCGCTTTCTCTGTAGGCCTGATTATTTGTAATCTATGAAAACATATTTCGTTGAGTTGCTTTGAAAATTTAATGATATAATGTTAAAAACTTAGCAAAATGCTTGGGACATAATAGATTCTCACTATATGATGCCTATTATTACATTTTAAAGTAAAAATTTAGGTTGCAAAACTCCAGTATGATCCAACTTAAAAAAATGTGTTTGTGTGTATACAGAATAAAGGTCTGGAAGGAAACCCTAAATATCTACAAGTAGAGAGATGAATTTCCCCATTGCTTAATCAGCATTTTCCATAGTATATCTGTTTGTTTGGTTTGGTTAATTTGGAGAAGAGGAATGTTTTAATTGGTTAAGCTCTAAGCGATCTGAATGATATTTACACAGACCACGGATGGGGAGAAGGAGGGATTGGAGTTGATTGGAAAGAGCATGGAGGTAGAAGATGAGGAATTCAAAAAAGTAAAACTTCCTTGTTGGGTGCAGGTGCTTAAGAACTGACAGACAAGGGGTGGGATAGGGAGGGTGGGAGGGAGGGAGATGCAAGAGGGAGGGGATATGGGTATATATGTATATGTATAGCTGATTCACTTTGTTATAAAGCAGAGACTAACACACCATTGTAAAGCAATTATACGCCAATAAAGATGTTAAAAAAGAAAAAAAGAACTGACAGACAGCTCATCTTCTTATTGCCAGAGTCGAGGAACTGCGGTATAATATGCTAAGCATCTTACATTAGAAAATGTTGTATATTCCTATAATCTTCATTCAGTATTTCATCCTAGTTTTCTTTCTTTTTAGAATTTTTTTTCTTTCTGGTTAATTGCTAATTACATTCTGCAGGAATGCTATAAAATGAGTGCTGGTGAATGTCTGTTAGGTAGATTTTACCAAATTATTGGGAACATATATATGTATATATTTTTTGCAATATGCGGGCCTCACACTGTTGTGGCCTCTCCCGTTGCGGAGCACAGGCTTCGGACGCGCAGGCTCAGCGGCCATGGCTTACGGGCCCAGCTGCTCCACGGCATGTGGGATCTTCCCGGACCCCGGCACGAACCCGTGTCCCCTGCAGCGGCAGGCGGACTCTCAACCACTGCACCACCAGGGAAGCCCGGGAACATAATTTTTAAAAAGAGAAAGCAGACTTCCGCCTGTGATACCTCTTAGGAAGATTCCCATCCAAAAATCAAAGGCAAGAACAACTTCTGGATGAAAATATAAGCCTTGACAGTCAGATATTCATTTTTTAAAATAAAACTAGAAACATTTCTAAGAGTATGGCCTACCTAATTTGGCTTACATCTATTTAAGAATCATAAATACATAAACTTTTAAATTTCTGTCTCTCTCTTTTAGGGAGAAGCTTGGTTTTCTAAAGTCAGAACGAGCTTGCTCTAGATCTAGGCTTTTTCAATTATTAGCCATGTGATCTTGAGCAAATTACTTAGCTTCTTATTTTCCTCATTGTAAAATGGTGATAATTACAGTTTGCCTCACAGGGTTATTGAGAAAAACTTAATCAGTCAATGAATGCAAAACATTTAACACATTGTCTGGTCCCCAGAATGCTTTCAATAAATATTAGTAACTGTTAATTATTAAGGGTGAGGGTGGAGAGGTGCAGAGAAACTTGACAGGATTCCAATCTCCTAGCTCTATGTCGTGAAAAGACTGGAAATGCCAACCTTTAGGAGAATCAAATTATACGGATATTGTCTTTAAAATCACTGGGGAGAGAAAACAAAGTTGGGCTTCCTTTACTCCTCTCACCATGGAAACCAGGCTTAGAAAACCCAGATGCACATTTTCTGATTTGGCGCCGAGCAAGTAGCCCTTAATATGGAAACCCAGGAAACCTAGGGAATAAACTCCTCGGACCAGCAGGCTCAGAGATTCCTTTTTATCATTTGAGTACCATGGGTTTCAGGCAAGAAAATAGGCTGAATTACATGTGTCCATTATTTTAGAAGGACAAAGGAGGCTTCTTCCCCCCACTGATAATTGCAAGCCAGGAACTTGCAGTTGTTCAAATACCATATAAAATCAGGCTCATTTTTCCCCACAGATGATTTCTTTCTCTTGGAAAGTGAGGTGGCCCTGCACAGTTCTCTTTTCCTCTCTCTCTTTAATTCTCTCTTCAGTTCCATGAGGAAGAGAATGAAATATTGAAAGAAAGTGGCATTGCTCTTGCCTTTAATTTCAAGTTCCAATATTTCACCTGTGACTTATTCATGGGATCGTTGTGATAAACCTAAAACCAAAATTATAACTGGAAGGTACTTTGTGAACTTACAGCCTTATGCATGTTATGCAGGATTATGTAAATCATGGTCATAATAATACTTACGTCACTTATTACCATCCTACTTATGGCTGTACCTTCTCTGTTTGATTCTTTTTTTTTTTTTAACTCCTTTTCTAGAAGGTAAGCTCCATGGGCTGGAGACCTTGTGTGTTTTGCTCCCTGCAGCACCGCCAGCACCTGAAACAGTGCTGAGGACACAGAGGCAATTAGTAGATATTTATTGAATTAATTATTAATATTCTTCATCAGGAAGTAGGTAGAAACTGTCCTTAATAACTCATAAAATAGTGTTTTTACATGTAATCCGTGACTGTCCTGAATCGAGGTCAGTCTGGGTGCTTGCTAAAAGGAGATGCCTGAGGCTCACCGCAGACCTGTGAAATTAGAAGCTCTCTAGGTCAAGTCAGAGGGGGGCTCGTCATTTCTAGCTGCAAGGCCCTACAGATGATTGAACCCGTAGTACATGGTGTCTACAGGAATGAATAAAAAAGCCTTCCTCTTAGTCGCTATGGCGGCTCAGGGGGCCCATACCCATGTAAGGCTTGGTGCCGGCCATGGTGGTGATGCACATCTCCACAGGTAGCATCGTAGCGATGTTGAAGTCTGTGATGTGCACGTGCCCTGCGAGGGAGAAGGACCACAGAGAACGTTACGTTCCATTCAACCCAGCGGCAGACCACGCTTTTTTTTTTTTATCAATAGTACCTGGAAGCTTAGTTTGTAAATTCTTGTACGCCATTTGCAATTGGGTACACACAGTAAAAAGTCAATTATCCTATCCTCAAGACCAATATAGTCTAAACCAGCAACCCTCCAGGTGCCAAAACACGGAAAGGTTAACGTCTGGTTGTAAGTTTGTAGTTCAATGTCAGAAAGTTTTAACCTTGGTCTTTAAGAGCCCACGCTCTGGTAAATTCTACTTAGGCAATTTTTGCCTGTTGTCAGCATTTTAAGTTGGTACAGCCTGTGAGAATCAAGAGCGGGGTAGATAAGAACTATTTGAAGTATCAAATTTCCAAGCATCTTTACAGCATCTTTTTTTTAAAGAAACAAATGTTGTTAATACAAAGCAGACATGACTGTGGATGCGTATATTTATTTCTTTGCCAAGAAAGAGTTCTTTCTCTCCTTGTTTTTCTGAATATCATTAGTAGTTTTTTGTCTGATAGTTCAGGTTGTCCCCCAGTGGTCCCCAACAAAATAATGTACAAAGGGAAAGTAGGGAAAAGTCAAGTTTTATTTTTAAAGAGGCTCTAGAAAGAGCCCTAGACTGGGAGCCAGGAGACTTAGGTCCTGCCCTGAATTCTGCTCCCAATACATCGTACACTTGCAGTTCCTTTCCTGTGTTGAACCTGTTTCCCTTAAAAAAAAAAAAAATTCATGGGCGGACTAGACGATCTCTAGGGTCTCTCTGCAGTGTTCACACTCATGGCAGTATAGTGTGGGTCTAACACTTAAGTTCAGAAGGGAGCACACCCTACAAAGTGTATTACGGTCCTTACATTCACAGCCAGAAGTAGGATAAGCCTGTTCTGTCAGCTGTTGGCAGGAAAGTCATATGTTTTGAGAGGATCGTGAAGTGTTGGCATTTCCATTTGCATGCTTCTGTGGTTGTGATGAGATACGGTGGTAACTGGAGGGGATTCGTCTTCCATATCCCACAGACCACGCTCCCCCTGCCAACTGCACTCTCTGCTCCCTGATAGCATCCAGTCTGCCGCTAACGATTAATCTCACTGTCTTTATCACCAGGGTTTTGTGTGGTGCAAAAAGTGTTTTGTTTATATCTGATGACATTTTAATAAAGTAGCGCTCATCAAGCTGAAAGTGAAGGTATCCTTGCATAAGTGGTACCAACAGATGATTTCCAGAAATCACCCTATCATAATATAGGTTGTTTCAGTATTTTCTTTCTCTGTTTCTCCCCATGGGTCACGCTCAAAGCACTGGATCAATGTTTCACAAGGTTTGATACAAAACAGGTGAGCCTGGAGACTTAATGATTAAGAGTCTGTTCTCTGGAGTCTGACTGCCTGGCTTCAAGTCCCGGCTCTAATACTAACCAGCTATGCTACCTCAAAAAGGTGACTTATCCTCTCTGTAAAGTTGAGATGATAGTAGTCATCTTCTCACGAGGTTGTTGGGAAGATCAAATGAAATAATGCTGTGGAAGGCTTTGCTCAGCATTTGGCAGGAAGTTGCTATTTGTCATGATCAGACGCTCCAGAGTGACTTTGTGAAACTCACACTCCTGGACTTCATTCTTCCAGGACACCAATGCCGTGGGACTGGTGGGAGAGCCAGGCATCCACGTTAGAAACAGAACAAGAAACTCCACAGGTGATTCAGATGGGCAGCCAGGCATGGGATCCTCTACGTTAGCCCGAGCAGCTGTTCTAACCGACTCAGTCCTAAGATTGGCTATGCTCATGTAGAAGGTAGAGGATGTTTCAGAGTCAGCTGGCTCTCCAAGTGCAGTCCCCAGACCAGCAGCATCAGTATCACCTGGGAAAGTGTTAGAAATGCACATTCCTGGGCCCTACCTCTGCATACTGAAGCAGAAACTCGGAGGATGGGGGCCCAGTGTTTAGAAAAGCTCCCTAGGTGATGCTGATACCCAGTAAAGTTTGAGACCACACTTTTAAAAGAAGACTAGGCTTAGTAGAAGATGTTGACTGCAGTAAGTACTCACTCGTTACATTTCTTTCGAATGTGGTTGAAAGAATGTTAATGTCATAAGTAGTATTTTTTACATTCATATGATTAATTGCAAGTTTCAAAAGGTTTTTGTACATTTAAGCCTAATCAAGTAGTTCCTATTTTACAGAAGAGCTGTTTGTGGCTAAGTTCTCAGTACTTAGAAGTAGCAGAGCTAGAATGAGGATCTACAATTTGGTCCAGGACTTCTTTGGTGGGTTATAAATCGCCCAGAAACTTTTTGCGCTTTAGCGTAAGACCAAATTGCTGAACAAACTAAAAGAACTATCTGCTGGTTGGCTCAGGGTTCCCCCACCAGGGTGCATAGTAGACAATGGGCAGGAATCATTTGAGGGTCAGGATCTACTGGAAACTGTTGCCTGCTGCCCTCCAGCTGAACAAGGATAGCAGAGCCCCTGGCCACCAGCCCCGACGTCTCCATTCCTGGCCCAGGATGCTGCCATGCTTCCCTGTGCTCACCGTGGGGATCCTTCTGCCATGGTCCCTTCTGTGCTGTGGAAGTGAATCTGAGTTCTGGCTCACAGAGGAAGGTTCAGTCACCTGCTGATGGAGGGACCCAGGAATTGCTTGGGTGTGAGGGACCACTCTGGCCTCTTCCATAAGCCCCGGCTCTGAGGGAGCCTTAGAACAGAGTTTTTCAACCTGGAACTATTGATATCTTGGACCTGATCATTCTTTGCTGTGAAGGGCTGTCCGGTGCATGGTCTAATGCTTAGTTGCATCCCTGGCCTCTGTCCACTGGATGCCAAAAGTACTTCCCTCTCCTAAATAGAATCCTGACCATCAAAATTGTCTCCAGACATTGCCAAGTGTCCCCTGCAGGGAGAGACGGTAGAGCGAAAGCATCCCCAGTTAGAACCACTGCCTTACTGTGAAGTTTTTCAGATACAAGGCTCAGAACTTCCTCACTGTGAACACCCTATAGGGAGTGATCTGCCAGTTCTTTTCACCTCTGTACCTTGAGGCACAGAATCACATTAAAAATTGGAGTTCACAGTATTGAGTCACTGAATTTAGTCGTCATTGTGGTCATTACTTATACTCTTTTGCACTGTACCTGTGTTCAGCCTGGGGATGTTTCTCAACACAGCCCTCAAGGACACCATAACCAATTGGTTGGCGTGGCTCCTAACTTTCAAAAATTTCCTCAACTCAAAAATAGTTAGATCATGTGTGCCACATTTTTCTAGGATTCTTATTAAAAATTCATATCGTTAGGCACTAGCAGAGACTTATACACCTGATTATCTGGGGATAGGGTACAGAGTTCTACTATATATGTGTGTGTGTGTGCGTGTGTGTGTGTATATATATATAATATACATATATGTATACGTATATATAGGTTTTAAGATGCTACCCACTTGATTTTTAGGTACATTTTGGGACTCTGCAAGGGAGAAGCTGTTAAGGTAGCAGAATTATTTCTTCCTCACACCCCCAAACCGAGTTTTTGCCTTTCTCTGTTCCCTGTGACTAGGGATGATATTAAGAAACCTAAATTATAGATGATGTGGTAATTGTCATTCTCTCAGATACACCAGGGAGACATTATTGCTCCTTGTATGCAGCATTTATTTCCTGAATAGCTTAGGAAAAACACAAGAATTTTAGACACTATTGAACTGATAGAATTAGATGGGGTACTTAAGTTGGTAGGACATGAAACCTATATATCAGGACAGTTGGTTATGAGCCATGCAAGATCTAATGCCATCTTGGGCTCTGAACTAGTGAGTGAGACATTTAAGGAGAACAGGTATGCTCTAAATTGCAGACTTTTTTAAGTCAAATTCTGATGTATAAGGAATGTTCATACACACCAGTGGAAGGATTCTCCATTTACAAAAGAATTTAGCTTCTTTAAATATCAGCCTTTTCTGATGAACATGAACCAATATGAATCAGTAAGAGTAAAACAAAATTTCTGCCTCTTACTGATGGTGCTGAATTAGAATATAAGCTATGTGGCGTAATACGCAGCTCACTTGGAGGAACGGGCATAGGAGGTGTATTAGAGGTAAACAGTTATCCTTTACAGTTGCTAAGTCCCCATGCAAGAGGCGTACATGATCTTGTCCATAAAGGGTGAAAAGTCCATAAAGGGTGAAAAGGGTGAAAAGAAGGAGAGGAGACAGAGGAGACAAATGAAGTTTTCGAACGTGAGACCTTGGAAAATCACACCAGAAAGCACTCCCAAAGGCAGGCATTGATTTGTGGTCCAGTTGGCTGTCACAAGAGCAGCTGTGCATAATGAGCTGGGGAGCGAGGGCCACCGGGAATTTCTTCATTTCAAAGTAGTTAATTATGGTCCCTGAGCAATGCCTAAAAGCTTAATTTTTCAGAATTTGAATAAACAGAAAGTAAATAACCTCAAAAAATTATTTTCTCCAGAAAGGGATCCCCAGGACAATGCTTAGAGAATGGCTCGCAACCTTTTTGTTTGCTTCTATCCCACTCACATATCCAGTCCTTCCCAAAGCAGTGTTTCTCTTATTGACTGCAGTGATCCTCCAGTTGAGTTTAGGATGGGAAAAAATACAGAAAAGCCCCCTCTTAAGTCATTGTCCAAACCCCAAAACTTGAGAGTGAAAAAGATCTTTGTAAATAGTACACTAGATAACAGTTGTAGACTAGGACCGTCCCTCAGGCAGACCGGTATGCCTACTTGTAGTCCCTAAGTAACAGACCCCCAGTCCAACCAAGAATAAAATGCCCTGAAAAGTGGGCTTAACCCCCTGCGTGCATGAAGGACAGGCAGAATGGGCCACTGAAAGTGTAGTTACCTGAGAATTAAGTGTCAGAGAAAATTGTTTAAACACAAGACCTAAGAAGTAGCCACACACAATCTTTGGTATATCCCACTTGGAATCAAAATAATTCTTTAGTAAAGACAGGTGAGGACCCAGCTTTCACTTACGCTATATGATATAGATAAAGTCATATAAAACAAAATGAAGTCACCTAAGCTTCCTTCTGTAGGGGAGAAAGCCCCTACTACCTCATGGAGTCATACTAGCATTTAACCGTTATTGAGTGATTTCCTTGTGCACGTGGCAATCAAGCACTTTATAAACAGGGTGTCAGTTAGTGTTTACAGTTACCCGGAGAAGTAAGGACGCCTTTCATCCCTGAAGAATCTAAGGTGCAGAGAAGTTTTAGGCAACCTGTCGAGCGTTTCAGAGCTGGTGAGTGAGAGAACTGGGTTTTGAGCTCAGAACCCCATGCTCGTATCTACGATATCACACAATCTTTCCCAAGGGTAGTCTCTAAGGGTGGACAAACTCGAAGATTAATTTATTCCTGGATCTTTCTCCTAATCTACAATGACCAAGTGGACAAGAAAATGAGGAAGAGAAAGAAGTTGAATGAGAGAGAACAGGACGACCTCACGGGAGGAATAAGATGAAGCCATGTTTGAGATCCAAGACCGAAACGTTGTTCTCTGAATGGAAGGTACATTTTTTTGGTTGACAGGACCCATATGTCTCCATTCAGGGTCCTGACAAATGGTTGAGCAATATATGGGGCACAAAGGCAAGCAGGTGAGGGGGAAGTGGGGACAGAACCCGAAATCAGGCTCTGCATTACCAGTGGTCACCTTCCCAAGGCTGTGGTAGGCACACAGAGCACCTTTTTGTACATCGTGCAAAGATGGCCTCTAGAGGTTGGGGAGGCCTTGTCCACAGCTGTGAAGCTCCACAGAGTTTATCTGCACCGGTGTGAGAGGGGATCCTGCTTCCTATTTAAGGCAGAGACAGCTGGTGCTTTAATGAAAGTCACCTTCATGTTGTCTCACCATTGCCCACATTTCTGAGATTCAGAAACTATTCCCAAATGTCAGAAGCAGTAAAGGGAAGGAAGAAATAAGGCATCGGAAGAAAGTGGAGAAAATCTTTTTAGACAGTCCATAAATAAATAATGACTCCAAGCTTTGAAATTAGAGGTCATACACAAAAGTGTTTCTTAGCCCTCTGAGCACATGTGGCGTCTGGCAAACCAGGCTTAAAATGCAACTAGGTAAATAAATAATAAGTGACGGATGGTCCGTGGAGTTTCAGTCCCACTTGCAAATCTCTTTTGTAAAAGTTAAAGAGATACAGAGCTTTGCAGATTTAGGACTCCCTCCTCTAGCAGCTTTCTAAAAATTTAACAAGGATCTTATTGCCTCTGTAACATTTATAACATGCAGGCTGTGTGTCCTACAGGTCTGCTCTAATAAATAAATCCAAATGTACATTGAAATAATATTAGGAAGAGATTGTACACATTTGATCACTGTTGGTCAAAGCTTGTTCTATAGGACATCTTCAATCAGTGCTTCTTGAACTTCAGGCATTCATGTATCACCGTCATGGTCATTGCCATATCCCTCTGTCACTTTCATAGCTGGGTACCAGAGATACTCTTATCTGCTTTATATCTTTCTTTAAATGGACTCATTTTTAGTAACTGAAAACCTTTGAACAGAAAACTTGATATCTCTTCTGTAAATGTGAACCCAGTTTACCCTCACAAGAAGGAAAGTCTGTCACGAATCTCTAGGTAGATACTATTGCCTACCGAATGCTCTAAGCCTCTTCTGTCTTTATGAAAAAAAAAAAAAAAAAAAGGGAGATGATTGCTATAGAGATATTAAAGCAAACTAGCACCAAAAAACTGGGATGGTTTTCTTGAAGAAATCAGTAGGAATGGAAGAAAATTGAAAAGAGAATAACTTTCTCCTTATGTAAATGTAAGGCTATTTAAGGGTGTACAACGTCACTGCAATAAATGATAAAGTTCCCCCATATGGTCCCTCCCACCATAAAATGGAGTTTGTACATGCAACTCAACTGAACTGAGTAAGACGCTTTTTCCCTATATAGTACTACTTTGCTGGGGATAACCAACTTGTTCTACATGCATGTTATGTGGTTACAAACAAATCATTTACTTACCATGTTCATCAAGCAAAATATTGTCAGGCTTCATATCCCTAGGGGAGTAAAAAGAAAGGAGAAAGTTGCTCATAATAAAACAAAGAAACAGAACTAAAGGATAAAGGTGAACTGCTTAAGAAGGCTAGCTAGGAATGAATGTACTAGCACTTCATCACTCACAGTCTCATTCAATTCTCACAGTGAATTGAGATAGTTACCATTAATACCCCCAATTTCTAGGTTGGAACTGAGGCTTAAAGAGGTTAAGTAACTTAACCCAAGGTTACAGAGCTAATAAACAGAAAAACAGGGCTCTGGACCTGGGTCTCTCTCACTCAAAAGCTCAGACTCTTTTTTTTTTTTTTTAAATATTTATTTATTTATTTGGTTGCACGGGGTCTTAGTTGCAGCAGGTGAGCTCGTTAGTTGTGGCATGCGAACTCTTAGTTGCGGCATGCATGTGGGATCTAGCTCCCCGACCAGGGATCAAACCCAGGCACCCTGAATTGGGAGCGTGGAGTCCTATCCACTGTGCCACCAGGGAAGTCCCTAAAAGCTCAGATTCTTAATTTCTACAGCATATTATATCCAAGTGTGTCAGTATTGCTCCATAGATCATCCGGCATTTATTTATTTATTTAAATTTTATGTATAATTTTTATTTTTATTTTTTAAATTTTATTGGAGTGTAGTTGATTTACAATGTTTGTTAGTTTCAGGTGTACTGCAAAGTGATTTATTTCTACATATACATATATTCATTCTTTTTCAGATTCTTTTCTCATATAGGTTACCACAGAATATTGAGTAGAGTTCCCTGTGCTATATATAGTAGGTCCTTGTTGGTTATCTATCTTACATATAGTAGTGTGTGATCATACAGCATTTAAATTGTCATAAGGTAGTAGTACTAATCATCATTGTTGCCTGTGTAACTCTAGAACTTGAAGACTATAAAAAAGAGAAACAAAATGATCTATAAAGTGATTACATTTTAAACTTGCAGAGATTAGAATCTTTTTTAGGATGATGCTATAATGCCTCTAGTTGCTTAATAAGTATTATTCCTGGGATTGTTAACTAAAGGATTTGGACCAGTTTTCTATGCATTGGTGAGATCCTTAAATCCATAGAAGGGAATATAATCCACCCTCTTCCAACGAAGGCAGTAGTTTGATGCTAAATACTTAGAGGTTTGATGGTAAATACTTAGAGGAATGGCCTGTAGAGTTTCAGAAGTCCTCAAGAACAAATATTATTGTAAGCAGTGTTCCTCAATGAGAGCACAGCTCTGTAGTTCATAGCAGCCCTCACTCTTCCACACTCCGGTTTTTACTGCCCTTCCCTGATGTACCATTAAAGCCCTTAAACCCAAATTCACAGAAGCCATTAGGGAAGAAATTCTGCAACAGGTTTGGGAACACATTTTCAGCCTAGTCAAGTGGCTTTTATGTCACTAGAATAAGGTGACTTTAGTCTGTGACAGACCGAGACTGTCAGAGTCCTCTTTTGAAAATATTAATGAATAACAAGCCTCTTAGCTACACATAGAACCAAGTATATGCCCCACCCAACCGGCAGGTGCATGGGTACTTTCATGAGCTTTGAATATCTTCTCGTTTAGTTTATTAGGTTCTTAAAATTAGCTCTGGATTCATAAGCGGTCATTTGTAGCTGTGGCAAATTTTTCTCTGGTTCAGGGTATAATTTGCTAAAAACATAGAGTGCAAGGGGGTTTCAAATTGCATGTTTCCCTGGCTAAACTCTCAGTGTTGCAGACTCCACCCTAACCCCTTTGATGGATTTCATTATTCCAAAAATTATCAAGTCTAAATTCACTCACATGGATTAAAGGCCCTTTCATAATCTGGCTCCTGTGCCAGCCACATGGAGGGCATGGAGTCCCCTAAAAGCTCCCTGCATCTCCTCACCTTCTGCCGTTCCTTTGCCTGAATCAGAGCCCTGAACCACTGCACCCAGAAAATGCAGATTCATCCCTCACCTCTTAGCTCAGATGCCACTTCCTACAGGAAGCCTTCCCTGATTTTCCAGTTCTGAGTCAATGGCCCCTCCTGTGTGCTCTGCATGGTATGCTTATCCCATCACAACATTTATCACACTTCTATTCATTTTTTCTCCAACTGGATCATGAACTCCTTGATGGCGGGGATGGTTTCTTGATTAATACATAAACCAGGATATACCAGAGCACTCCAGTGCACCATTGAACACTCTGCAGTTTAAAGCTTGAGGTAAACTAGCCATTAGGCTCTTGCCACCTCTTTCGGACCTGTACCAGTGAGCATCAGGTAGTGTCTGCCAGGAGAGGAGGAGGCCCTGAGGAGCCCTGCCGGGAAGGGAGAGACTTGGGTGTGGCAAGATGAGCACAATGATTTCGTGGCCTGAATTTATGAGGGCTTGCTAGGAGAAATGAATTGCCGTGGGTTTGGCACTTTATGGGCTTTCTATTAAATCCCTAGGTGCAATTTTTTAGATTTGTTATAGCCACACTTCGTGATATCCACTACTTTCCCCAGAAACTTCCTTGCAGCTTAAAGAATAATATGGAGATCAGAGAGGTCATAGTTTAAGGTGATATGTCCTACTTCAATCTTATATTCATTTAATTATCAAACATTTATCTATCAAACATTTATCTACTTTGATAAGTCACTGTGTTAGGATATGAGAAATATAAAGACAGATGAGACATAGTTCCCTCAGGGATGGGGAGGGTAAGAAAGTTCAAAAGGAACCATGCCAAAGGGGTTTAAAGTGGTAAAGAGGCATGTTTATTACTAAATTCAGAGAAAGACTATGAGGAAAATCTAAGAAAAATATAAAAGAAAAAGTGGACTTTTAACAGAAAAATAAAGTATATAAGCATAGATTCTAAGTACATAGTTTCTCTAAAAAGTGATGAGGTAACCTCTAAGTCACTACAGGGTGAATGGCAGTGTGATAAGATTGTTTATTCATGCAGTAGGAGAAAGGAAATGAAAATAAACCCAGGTGCTGTATTAAAATTCCTGCTAGAACAAGTTGAGATTTTCTAGTTCAGAATTTAAGCACCACTTATATTTTCTGTCTTCTCCAGTAATCCTAAATGGTTTTCTTCATTTAAGGCAATCTATAAGATGGTTTAACTGGGTAGTTACCAAACCTGGGTATCTACGATCACCTGGGGAGCTGAAAACAACATGCACCCCAACTGTTTCCTCACTCCCATTTCCTTAATCATTCCTTTGTCATCATGACAGCCTATCCACCGGGCAGCATGACCTTCTATCATATACCTTTTATCACCAGACCCGACCCAGGGATTCTAGACTAATAATAAGTAAAACTTCCTGCCTGATGTTTCCATCTGTATGTTTAGCAGCCATGATAAATATAAATATAATACGTCCTAAAGAGAACCTTTGATATCCACCAAATCCCACACAAACACCAAAAAAACCCATGAAATTAATACTTGATCTAGTAATTCTACTTCTGGGTATATACCCCAAAGAAGTGAAAGCAGGTATTTGAACAGATATTTGTACACCCGTGGCAGCACTATTCACAATAGCCACGAGGTGGAAACCACCCGAGTATCCGTGGATGGGTGTATAGATAAATGTGGTATATACGTATGGAATATTATTCAGCTTTAAAAAAGAATAAAATTCTGATACAGTCTCTAACACGAATGAACCTTGAAGACATTATGCTAAGTGAAATATGCCAGGCACGAAAGAGCAGTTATTGTATGATTCTACTTATATGAGGTCCTTAGAATAGTCAAATTCACAGAGACAGAAAATAGAATAGAGGTTCCCAAGGGTTGTGGGGAAAGACGGATTGATGATTTATTGTTTAATATTTATAGAGTTTCATTTTGGGATGACAAAAAAGTTCTGGAGATGGACGGTAGTGATGGTTGCACAACAGTATAAACGTACTTAATGTACTTTGTCACTTAAAAATGGTTAAAATGATAAATTTTATGTGATGTATATTTTACTACAGTGAAAAAATACTTATACATAGACACACATTAGAATTACCATCTCCAGCGCTACCACCATCATCATACTGAAGTCTGCAATAGTATAATACCTTGTTCTTCTTGCTTCTCCTCTTGTCCCCTGACAATCCATTATCCACATAGCAGCCAGGGTGGTGTTTTTCATTACACACACCTTCCCTGCCTAATGACTCCATTGGCTCCCAACCCACATGGAATAAGATCCGAACCATTTACCCTGGCCTTATATGACCTGTAGGTGCTCTAGTCCTGCGGAGCCCTGAGCTACATCTCATAGCCACACACCATGCTCCAACTGCACTGTACTTCTTGGTCTTCTTCACACGTTGTCCCCTCTGCCTGCAATCCTGTCTCCCTAGACCTTCAGGTGGCTTGTGTCTTCTTGTCATTCAGATCTTGGCTAAAATATCATGTCCTCCAAGTTCTTTCTTCACCACCCAGTCTAGAGTAGTGCCCTCTCCATCCTCATCTCTTCACTTCCACCTTATTTTCAGCACAGCACTATCATTACCTATTTTCTTCTTTATTTGTTCCTTATTTGTTTTCCCGCCAGGTTCTCAGAGCAAGGACATCTTTTCTGTGCTGTAGCTCCTAGGCTCATCAAAGTGCCCAGAACAAAGTCAGTGTTTAAATAAATATTGGTCAGAAAAATGAGTAAATCTAGTCCCTTGGCTTCTCAAACTTCTGGAATAATAAGCCATGTATTTCTTTTTCTCCTAAGAAGAGAAAAACAAAAACAAAAGAATAAGAACAACGACAACAAAACACCCTCCATATGCCAGATGCACTGTGTTTACTGTTGGCAACGAAAAAACCCATCATTTGCAGAGCGGTAAAGTGCACTTTTGGGAACACACACATGCTGTAGAAATCCTTCATTGCAGCTTGATTTGATGAAACAGAAAAGTCCAGGTCCTGCTGAATCAGCTGATTCTTACTGGAAGAACTACAAGTAGCAGTGTGGAAATGCAACACTCCCTGTGGCAGGGTCCGAGGCGGAACTGATATATCTGCTGTTCTCAC